GGCAGAGACCAAGTCCTACATTATCAGGACACACCCAGGCATTATGCAGCCACTTTTGTTTCACACGTCTTTTACTTGATTCTCTGGTATTTGTGATTAAGATACTAAATTCAACAGAGCAACAGACAGTACCAGCTGACAGTTCTGTATTTGTCAGCTATAAATGCTGTTTGAAAGAGTAGGAAGCAGATACCTGGCATACCTATGAGATACAAAGGTAATTCCTTCCCAAGTAGAACAGTAGATGTAGGCCTTTACCTACAAAGTTTACCATATGAAGACATTTTCTTTAACATTTGCTTGATTACTTTGGTTTGCATTTAATTATATAGATGGCTGAGTGGTTTTGTAATTTTATAGCTGGCCTGTGCTAGTAATTGATGTGGTAGTGTCATTCTTATGAAGGTTGGTTTAGAAATGCATAGGGTTTGAAAAGCTGCTTGTATTTAAAGCCATTAGTTGCGATGCAACCGATACTGTACTATGAATTAAATGAAAGAATATTAAATAATGTTGGGGTTTTTTTGTTTTGTTTTGTTTTGTTTTTTTTTTAATTTTCCTTTCTCACATGCTAGTGTTCAGTCAGTCTAAGGGTTAGTGCATTATTTTTCTGGATTAAAAATAAACCTAGTTTTCTTCATTTTGTGTTAATGAAAACAGATGAGAAGGAAGGTATATGACTTGTGTATCTAGGACGTATAAAAACACATGTTTTTGAACAACTCACAAAGTCAGCCACAATCTTCATCATTGATTTACTGATTCCAGTGTTGTCTTGGGGCAAATACTACAGTTATGTAAAGTCCACAAAAAACCCCCCAACATTATTTAACATTCTTTCATTTAATTCATAGTACAGCATCGGTTGCATCGCAACCCCTGCCCCCAATAAACTTATATTCCTTTCCACCCCTATTTCATATTTATGAATCTAAAAGTAAAGAAACTCTTACACTAATGAAATAAATCTATGTTATTTTCTGGAGGTAGAATGATGATCTTTAGTTACACCCTCCAAAGTCTTGAGACCTCATTATCTGAAAACCCATTTCTTGTCCTATTCCCATCACAACAACAACCATCTATGTCAGTGGAGCATCTCAGGCGAGTGACGATAGTTATGTATCTTTGCCTGTAGGAGTTTGACATGGTTTAATTTTGGAAGCTTTCAAAGGCTCTGTATTTGCTTGGACTATTGAGGTGGAGGGGTTGTTCTTCTTACTCTGTTGTCACAATTTGGTTCTCATTTGGGATGAGAGTCGGTTCATATTGCTAGACAAAGGTAGTCCATGATATCACTTAATTCTTCTATACATCTGTTTTCCCGTATGCAAACCACAAAAATGGACTACATCCACATGAGATGTTAAACCTAAATTTTAGAGATCCCACCAATTAGTAGAATCAACTCCTCTGTCAGTAGTGCTCTTATGTTCTCCTCTCAAAATCTGCAGAGAGCCTAAGAAGAGGATTTGCAAAAGCCGTACTTAGCAAGCAGCAAGTGCTAAAAGCATAGCACATGCACACATGGGTAGTTTGTCTCCTTTTTCTTTTGCAATAGATAGTAGTGAAAGCATGCCTGAGGTCCAGAGCCAAATCCCTCTTCTTCCTGAAAAAGCTTGATCCCTATGGAATACCATAAAGGAATGACCTGAAGGGGATGGCTTTTAACCAATAAGCCTCATTTACCAACTTCTTAAATATCTGTTCCTGAAAATGCAGCCAGTAGTGAAAACAGTCAACAGCAAATTCTCTACTGCATCAGGACACCTAAAACATATTTGGACTGTAGACACCTAAATAGTTAAATGGCTTTTTAGGGAGCAGAAAGAGAGGTAAAGGATCCAACTGCGGACTCTAGGCTTAAAGCTGCAGCATGCATGCTGGAAGACTTGGACTTTGCCTTAAAAAACATGGTAAATAGCATTTGACAAGTCACTCCATCAGACTTCAAAACTAGCATACACAGACTGGGTAGAAAAAGTTCTTCCTTAGATGGTCATTGTTAGGCACAGGTGAGAGATATATGCCACTGAAGACAGAAAAGGTAGAACTGCAAAAAGACCACAGAAGGTGGTGTTATTTTTCCTTTAGGGCACATTAAAACAGTGTTTTTTGCAAATACTGAGAGAGGGATTTGGCTTTCTCGGTATCCTTTTTGTCACTTATAACCAGTATAAAGCAATAAAGCTTCTGCTGATGATTTTGTTGAGGATTTGTGTCATACAAAGGAATTCAGCAGACTGCCGTTGTCAATTTGTCCCTGTAACAGACTAAAACTTGTTTAGTCAGTAAACAGATATGTCCTGAAGGCTGGAGGAACAGATCTATTGGGCAAGAATTTCAAGAAGGTACTGTTTCTACACACTTGCTTTTGAAGTCACAATCACACATTTTTTTTCTATGTAAAAAGGGCTGTAATGCTTATTTAAGAATTTCTTTGTTACCTTTGTTTAGATAGCACCCTCAACAATGTCACTAAATCATATAAGCTAGGTAAAGATTAGTTTTTACAAAGCTTATTTCATAGATAAGAAAAAATGAGGAAAAGAGAAGCACCTAGCCTATACCAAAGGGAAACTGAGGAGAGAGCTTAGCTCTTCATATAACCTGGTGCTTGACTCCAAGCTCATTGAAATCACCCCCAAAATTGCTGTTGACATTAGCAAAACCTAGCACAGGCTTCTTATCAGTCACTGGAAACACGCTCCCCAAGTTTGCTCTGTTGTCCAAGCCTATTTTAAATCCCTTCTTAAAAAAACTGAAACGTTTCTGCTGTGCCACTTACAAGAAATTAGCCAATGAATTGGCTGTAAATGAAGAAATCATGTTTATTTTAGGTAATTTAGAGCTTTTAACTTGTGCTTAGGTGTGTAACTTCATAATCCTACCAGTACCATGTCCTAACCCCAGTAGCAACCCAACTTGTTGTTGCACCTAGTTCTTTTATCTCACAGCAAAGTAAACTGCTCAAGGAAACTATGTGATTTTTTTGTAGTGTTGCAGTTTAAGCAGATCCTAATCTGTTTTGGAGATGAAGCAGTCCTAAGATATAAATAACCAGTGCCTCTCCCAAACAGATTTTCACCAATTCCTTCAGGAAACTCAGAAACTCAATGTGGTTCACTGAAAGAAGTGTGAGTCATAGTGCCTAATTTGACTTTTCAAAATGTTCATGTGTGTGTGTATTTCTGTCAGGTTCGGGGATTTTGATTCAGTATACTGTAAAACCAGAATCCAGTTATGGAGTTTGGGTTGATATGCAGAACAGACCTCCCCTTGAGTCGGGGCCCTGACTCAGAATATCACTGAGAGTGATCTCGCTCAAAGCCATGTGAGTGACTCACATATTTACTTCTCTCTAACTCGCTCTCCTCTTCCTTTCAAGTTAAAATATTGGGCCATTTTTCTGACATCAGCTCACTGACATCCAGCTATCAGCTCAAAGTCAACACAGTGAAATGATAACCTTTCCTCCCTGAGGTCCCTCCACTTCAGCGAATGGCACTTCCATGGTCTCTCTTGTTCTGCCCTGTAACATCTGCCCAGCAGCCACATCTCTGGAGCATCTCTGCCATCCAACTCACCACTGCCACCCCTGCAGCCACAACTTGGGCATCAGTGACACCCTCCCTGCTCCAGCCCCTCTTGCCTGGGTCTGGTAAACAGCATCCTGCACCCTCAAAGTGCCCACTGAGTGTGGTGAGGTGGCTCTACCCACCTCTAGCACAGTGTGAAGGTTCATCTTCCTCAGGGTGCACAAGGGTGGTCTGCACCTTCCCCAGCACCATCTAGTTCTCTCTCCATCCTCCCTCTCATACACGTAGGATATACACATAGGAGAGGGATGGAGCACCTCTCCGGTAAGAAAAGGCTCAGAGAATTTGCATTGTTCAGCTTGGAAAAGAGAAGGCATCAGGGTGACCTAATTGCTGCCTTCCAGTACCTGAAGGGAACTTAAAGGAAAGATGGGGCAAAACTATTTACAAGAGCATGTAGTGACAGGACAAGGGTGAATGGCTTCAAATTGAAAGAGAGTAGGTTTAGATTAGACATTAGGAAAAAATTCTTTGCTGTGAGGGTAGTGAGGCACTGGAACAGGTTGCCCAGGGAAGTTGTGGATGCCCCATCCCTGAAAGTGTTCAAGACCAGGTTGGATGGGGCTCAGAGCACCTGGTCTAGTGGAAGGTGTCCAGGGAGGTTAGAACTAGACGATTTTTAGGGTCCCTTCACCCAAACCATTCTATGATTTAATGATTCACGCCCTGAGCACTGCTGCTCTACCGGAAACGCTGCTTGCACACTTTCTCTAATGTCGGGAGGCTTTTGGTTTTGTTTTTTCCCCGCGTTTCACGGTGCGCGGGCAGTGAGTTCCCTGTGCCCGAATGCAGACCGCCCTCTCCCTGCGCGGCCGCCCCGCCCGGGCCCGGCCGCTGCCCCGCTGAGCTCAGGGTTATCGTGGGGCGGTGAGTGAGCGCCGAGCAATGCGCCGCTCACAGCGGGGCCTTGTGGGTAGGGGAGGCCGCCTGCGCGGGGCTGGGGAGCGGCGGCCGCGCCGGGCCGGGCCGGGCGGACCGCGGGGTGAGCGGTGAGGGAGGGACGGAGCCGGAGCGGCGAGGCCGGCGGGGATCGCGGCTCCCGCCCGGGCAGCGAGCGAGCGCTGCAGAGGGAGCCGCGCTCTGAGCCAGACTCCGCAGCGGCCGCTCTTCCTTCCCTGCCCGCCTCCCTCCGCCCGCAGCGATGTCCCGGCGGAACGGGCACTGAGCCGGCGGCCGCCGAGGGACGCCCCGAGAGGGGAGAGGCGGGGGCACGGCGGGAAGTGCTCCGTCCCTCCCTCTCTCCCTCCCTCTCAGTTCTCCCCTCCCCTCTCCCCGCGCCCGGGCGGAGCAGCGGCCGTTTCCCCGCGCCCTTCATGCCCGGGCGGCGGCCACCGGCGGCGCTGCCCTCCGCTCCCGCCTCGCCGCCCCCGCCCTTCCCCGGGATCGCCGCCGCACTAGGCCCGCCCGGCGGCCCCGCGCAGTGCCCTCCGCGGGCCCGGCACTAGGCGGGCCGGAGGATGAGCCAGCAGCCGGCGGGGAAGATGTCGGCGGCTCCCCTGGCGGCCGAGGCGCCGGAGCCGGCGGCGGGGATGCTCGAGGGCCGCCAGAGGAAGCTGGAGTCCATGATCCGCGACCCGCGCTCCCCGGTCAACGTGGAGAGCCTTCTGGTGAGGGGCGGCCGCGCCCGGGGGCAGCGCTCGGCGGGGGAACAAAGGGAGCGTTGCCCTCGCCTCGGCCGGGCGGGAGGGAACGGGAAGGAAGGAAAGAGCTCCCGCGTCCTGAGAGAGCTTTTCTGGCGGAGGACGAGAGATCGTCTCCACGCCCCCGGCCGGGCCACCGGCGGCGGGGAGGTGGCGGGATCGGCCCTCGCCCCGCGGGGCTGTGCTGGGTGAGGGGACGGACACGGCGCCGTGAGAGAGGAGCGAGCGCTTCCCGGTTAGGTACATCTTATTGTGGGGGAAGTGAGAAATGTGCCCGGCAAGATCTGACCGGGGGAGGAAAGCGCCTTGTTTTCTCGCCCAGCATCGTTCACACCGTTCCCTTTCGCGCCTCGTAATCACGGCGTGCCCGTCCCCAAAGTACCTGCCTTTGTGTACGCTCAGGGCAACCCATCGCTCACCCCCTCCAAAACGTCCTCTGGTAAAGATGAGGTTGCTGTGTGATGTGGAAATAACTCAGGAAAAGGACACGCCTAAGGGAGAAATGTAACTGGGGGGTCCTGTGGGGTCACATTTATTTTCCACTGGGGCAAATTGATTCGTCTTGTCTCCTGTTTCAAATAGCATTTTTCTGTGTGAGTGTATGAAATATAATTTACTTTAGTAAGAAATTTGTGCCCTCGGGAAGAAGTGGGAAGGGAGTTAGATTTCCCCATTTAAAACATCCAAACTCTGAAAAGGCAGTAAGAGATTATTATTGTTGTTGTTATTATTATAATTATCATTGTTATTATCATTATTATTATAATTATTATTGTCACTATTATTTTAACTGAACTTTAGAGTCTTCAAATCTTATATTTCCAATGTGTCCCAAGATTTCCAATGTGTCCGAGTTATGAGGAGCAGAAAAGGGAGGAATAAATCCCAGTCCTTCCAAGAGTTGCTAAAGGCACTTACACTGTGTCCTTTTTTTTTCTCTCCTGCTTTCAAATAGCTCAGTTCTGTTTGGCCAAAAATACAGGGACTGACTGAACAGTATGTATGCCTGTGCTGTGTGGAGAATATAGGAATTTCCTATAACATCTGAAAAATGTTTTTCCCGAGGCTGTAGTGCTGTGTTACTCCTCTTATAGATGTTCAGAGGCATAATGACAGCCATAGTCAGTGGAGGGGAGTGGGAAATAGCGCTACAGATCTGACTGGGTTCAGATAAGTTTTTGCCTAGGCCAAAGCAAAGAGAGCTGCCTCTGGGCTTCGCTCCCAGCATTTTCACTTTGGTATTTTGCTAGGAAAACTTTGACCTGTGGCCAAAAAAGAGAAGTTAAAAATAGTACAGTCGTTCTGAAAAATGCATCAGGTTAATACTTAACCCCAGTAGACTTTTTCACACTCTGCTTTTATACTCAACAGTGTGATTCTTGTATTGTCTTGCCTCTTGTGCCTTGGACATAGATTAAATACACTGAAATATGTTTATGTTTCTGAAGAGAAATTTTAACTGCAAAATTGAGACTGGGTTGCTTAGAACTTGATTTTGTTTGTTTGTTTGTTTTGTATGCTTACAATGTAGACCACTTCATGTAACACATTGGGCAAATTAGCAAACCATGGGAGAGTGTTAGTTGGATTGTAAATGCATTTTTAAGCATTTTTTTAATGCTAAAGGTCATCACTTTGCTCAGCACTCTGTAAGTATTGTTTAAAAAATTAGTAGCAAGTAAAATCTAACACTCATCAATCAAATGTCCTAGCTTGTGCATTCTCTGTGTCTGTGTATGAAATAATTTACTATTTATCATTCTTATTTATGAAATTTGCAATGGATTTCCTGTAAAAGCTTTTTCTTTGGGGCTTTAGTATTGTTGGTTTATGCTATTTGACTTTAATTTCGCATTTGCATGCTGCTAAGCAGAGTGTGAAAATATCATATTCATATTAAAAAATATACCTGTTTACTAAACAGCTTACTTTCAGTGTAAATTATCACAAGTGGAAATGTATTTTTAGTTTAAAGTAGAAATGCAGCAACAGAAACTAAGACTCAGGGAAAACATCTTAAAAAGACTAGCTGGAATGCCACTATTTCATCCTCCAAAAATAACATAACCAAAACTAAAAATGAGGAATGGAATTCAAAATGGAATTCATTTCCTTACAGTGTAAAAAGTCATAAACAGCTGCTATTCTGCATTTTGTGTGCATGCTTTATTTTTGGGAAGCCATAAAAAGTGAAAAAGTAACTCTTAATCTACAACACATGGTGTAAATTTGAAAGCCGTGAAAAGCTGAGGTAATAAGCTGTCTTACTCTAGATACCAATTTCACTGCCTATCAAGAGCTGTTTCATTCAGTGGCTCTAAATGAAGAGACTTTCTTTGTGTACCTCCCTGGCCACAGGATGGCTGACCACATCCATTTCTTCATCAGGAGAATCTATAAAGCCAAATACATTGATTGATTATGTTCCTTCCACCCCCCTTTGGGGCTCAGGAGAGACTATTAGATTTTCTGATGTGATTTTTGCTATATTATGTGCATTTAAACTTGTTATTTATGCCTGTGTAGAGCATAATCGCTGGTGTGTGATTAAAGCCTATCTTTCAAATAGACATGCATTCTCAATTCAGAGGCATAAAGAGATGGAGAACTCACTATTTAGTTTGTCCTCATAGTTAGTTTTGAAAGCAAAATACCCCCTCCCCCCAAATTGAAATGTACAGTATGGTTGTCACCATCGTCTTTCTGTTTAAAAAAGGAAAAAAGAATCATAGAGGACTTTCTACTCATTCGCACAGGTCAGATGTGCAGCCTGTGCTTGGTGGGGTTCTTCTGGTTTTGGTCCAATAGAGAGATGAAAATGGGAATGCTAGAACTGTATACTCTGTTCAGTGACAGGTTCCACCAAAACATCTGCAAAGGGAAGTGGTTATTGCAACCTCATTGAAACGTCAACCAAGTGCTCCTTTTCTCATTGTATTGTGTTGAAAGCCTGTTGTTAGGTTGCCTCTGCTAAGATAAATAACTGTTGTCACAGCTCTTACTCTTTTTGGTCATGTAACATTGCATTAGTGGTTATGAAAACCCGTTTTGTGGATTACATTTAGATGGTGCAGATCCCTTTGTAAAGCTACCATATTCTTGCTATTTGCTTTTCTGCCAGTTGGGTCATCCACTAATTTAACAAAGTGACATTTTTATGTGTACTGCATGTACACATGGGTGATAGCACGTAATGGTATTTGACCTTGGGTGATCTATAAGAAACCCATCTATAAATACATTCCTACTGAATAGTACCTAATTGACAACTACATTAAGGAGAGCTTAGTGGTTCTCAAATACATTTGTGTATTTATGCTTTTGCATATAAGCCCCATCTACAGTATTAACTGAGTTATTTTCTGTAGTATTCAATACACATTATTCAGGGGTGCGTTGGCAAGTGTTGGCTGAACACTTAATGTGTTCTAAAACTAGAGCCAGATAGGTCACTGTAGGCTGTGGAAAACTAATCCAGACGTCCACTTCCTTGCCCTGTGTAATTGTATCACTGCAGCACATGCTGAAATCAACTTTAGTGTTGTATGGTGGTGACGAACAGCTCAGATAAATCTTATCATCCTCCTCCCTGCAGTGGTCTGCCTGGGCCTTCTGCTGGGGCTGCAGTCGAGGGTGGTTGCCCAGAGAAGGGTCTGGTGTCTGCCCCTGGACTTGTTTAGTGTAAGCCTCAGGATTTTAGTGTTAAACTTTGGCATCACACTGGTGGTGTAAAATGTTGAATATATTCTGCCTGCTCCGCTGTGGTTGCTATGTGAGCATTTGAGAGAAGGAGCTCTTAAAACTGTCAATTAGACAGTGCAGCAGTGAAATCGTGAGCACAGTGTTGAGCTACGCTGGGAATGCAAGCAGGATGGACTGAGAAATGGAGAGATGATTAGCCCAAGAGTGCTCAAGTGTCTCAGAATATACATGCCTTAGAACCTAAAAAATCCAAACCCACAAACCAAAACTGAACTAATTCGCCATTTATTTTTTGTTAAAATAAAGCTGACAGGTAAACTGTGTGTTTCCACTAGTTTGAACATGAATAGATGTTCATCTGTGTTGACCCTTGCTATTGAGACCCTGGAATTTTACTCTTAATGAAAAGTAGGTTGCAGATACAGCTGTGACTCTCATCCTTTCAATAGGTGCATCTGTCCATAACGATCTCATCAATTGAGTAGATGCCAACTTTATACCAAGAGTGTTAATTGAGCAGATCCCTAGACTGAACTCTGTTAATACGGGGTCTCCAGGTCATCATGGCCGACACAATGTATCCCTTCGTAGGATTTTGGCCTTATGAGCTTTCTAAGTGTTTCATATTTAGTATGAAAGTCGTTTTGTTTTCCTGAATTTATTGCCGCATAGTTTTGAATCAGCAAGAGCAATCTGTTGTGTTAATTTGAGCCAGGAAGTATGGGGAAGAGCTGAAACTGTAGCAGTTAGCAGGATCTGATCTAAAATTTGTTGCCCAGTAAGTAGCTAGAAGGCCAGATGATTCTCTGTTCTTGAAGAAATAATCTTTCCTTGTTTGTTATATTTCTTGTGCTGTTATTTCTCTATTAGTTTGTGACTCTTTCTATAAATTTTCTATTTTTGATCTGTAATTTTAGAGCATCTACTGCAGAGTTGAAAAAGATGATCTTTAAGGAAACAGAATTGTCTTTTGTTCATTGTTCCCCTCTGATGGATTTATATATAGCAGTATAGTTAGCTGGAAAAGGACAGGTCTATTTTCTGACAGCTTTACCTGTTCTTATATTCTGTCTTATTCCACACTAGGATCAAAGTATTTCACTTGAAGTGTAAGAAAGCAAAAAGAACATTTTGCTCAGCTTCAATACTTTTACTGCCATACAAGGTGCTTGCAGATATTGTGTATGTGTATTCACAAGAGGAATGTTCACTCCCAATATTTCATCTGTATTGATCAGATTGCAGAGTGTGTCATTTGTACCCTG